GACCTCGTAAAAACTGAAATATAGACTTTCTAAGACATATTCTCTGAAACTGCAGTGCACCTAATTTGAGAACACGTTTAAAACCTGGAATGGACGCTATAAAATATTCTCTGCAATGTACCATATTTCACGTTTTAACTGGATAAAAACATATGTATTGCAAGGTATAATAATGACCCGCGGTCCCTAGAGTTGTCATATGTTCATTTTTGCCGAAAAATCCCGACGTTTCCTATGCAAATCTGAAAATTATATCCGACATGGATCAATTAAGAAGGTGTGCATGCATGTTCTATGAATATACTAGTAAAGACATTGTTCAAAGTTTGAAAGCTATTCAGTTAGAATCTGTGGAAAGAGATTATCACACAAAATATAAACCCTCTTTTACCGCTCGCCTGAATGTCAATCGGCCCACCCTACAGCTCTTCTTTCATCATAATATATAAAATTAGTTTTGCATTTTGTGTAATGCATACAAATGTTCTGTCCTCAAGTTTACCTATATCAAAATTAAAAGCTCCGTCGAAATCAATTTGGAAAACGCAAAAATTAAAAAAGACATGAATATATGGTTTTAAATTACAAGGCTTGTCATGTTTTTGTTTCCTTTCTCTGACTTCTTTCTATTGACTTCCCTTGTATCCTTTCTCAAGGTCGTCCTGGACATGCATGAAATATTTGCCACTGGACGTTAAGGAACTAACAATCAATCAATCCTTTCTTAAGGATCAATTTGTTTACTGCATCCACTTTCCATATAATTTGCTCATCCGCTAGCTCTCCATTATCAATTAAAAATGTATTTCCCTCCTGAAGGAGACAACTAAAAATCTCTAATATTAGTAATAACGGTGTCACTTACACGAATTGGCAAACATACTATTGGACATCTCATGCATTCGAGAAAATTTACAACATCCTCGGGACTAACCGTTAAACTTGACCACACGTAGCGAACCTTGTGTATGTTCAGTGAATTTTTCATTTCCGAATTAGAAATCAGTCCCTAACGATGAAGTCGAAGGGGACTTTAGGTCTGTCTGTCTGTCTGTCTGTCTGTCTGTCTGTCTGTCTGTCTGTCTGTCTGTCTGTCTGTCTGTCTGTCTGTCTGTCTGTCTGTCCGTCCGTCCGTCAGTCCGGCAAATCAGGTTACCACACTCTTTTCTTCGTGCTTGAAGATATTGATTTGATATTTGGTATTGTTTCGAATTGTGTTCCGGTCTGAAGATTTCGTGCAGAGTTACAATCCTTGGACTTTGAAATTTGCTTAAATATTCAGTTTTCCACACTGTTTTTCGTCATGCTTGAATATATTGATTTGATATTAGTTATATACATGACAATGTCAAGATCAAGTTTGCATTTTGTTCAATACAATTTATTTCTAACCGGAAGGGGACTATGTATTGTCATGCAATACTATAAGAATGCTTGCTCTAGAATACTTAAAAAAATGACAATGGAAGTAAATAAAGGTTTTATAACATGTTAAATATTATCAACAATAAAGATAACATAGTCCAATATCTGCATTTGTTTACGACCGCAAACAATTTTCGTTCGTATATTGCTATTACGTCGTCGTCCTCTCTGTCGTCGTCGGCGTCGTCGTCGTCTCGTCCGAAGACTTTTGGTTTCCGGACAATAACTTTAGTTTTAGTGTATGGATTTCTATGAACCACAGAAGGAAGATTTGGAGTGTTGTTGGGGATGATGGTCCCAACCGTTTAGAAATTATGGGTCAAAAAGGGGCCCAAAAACAAGCATTTTTCTAGTTTCAGGACAACAACTTGTGTATAAGTATTTTGATTGCTCTGAAATTGTACCAATAGCTTCAATTCCACAAGTAGAAGGTTGTGATTAATTTGGGGTATAATTGCCCAAACCTTTCTGGAATTAGGGGTCAAAAAGGGTCCAAAACAGGCGTTTTTTTTCTATTTTTCAGACAATAACTTGTAATTAATTTTTTTTCCCTCAAGGTTTAAGAATTCATCAATTTTCCATTCATTATTCTGGTAAAAAAAATATCAAAAAATTAAGCCGCGAAAATATCAGTAGATTAAGTATACGGAGAAACACAATTAACTATGGACTAGAAGTAAAATATCAGTAGATTAAGTATACGGAGAAACACAATTAACTATGGACTAGAAGTAAAATATCAGTAGATTAAGTATACGGAGAAACACAATTAACTATGGACTAGAAGTAAAATATCAGCTATTTGCAAGACTAAAGTTGGAATTTCAAAGTTACGCTTGGACCGTATTACGAGTTAATAGATCAGATGTTCTGAAAAAAATCTACATGCTGTTTATAACTTCTGTATTCAAAGAAGTTCAATTTTGTGTGTTGGATTTGAGTTTTCAATTCTAGTATTTATTTAGCTTGTGTGCAGCTTTTGCATAGAATAATGTACTGCCGTCCGTGTTTATATATTGTTATTCTTTCGCTACCGTTAAACAATTTTGGTTTCAGAATTATCTTTTGGCATTAGTATTATCTTGAAATAGTCCGTTATGATATGAAAGTCATGATATTTGGTAAAGTTAAAAACGAGACATCCATATATAGCCACCAAAGACATCAGGACAAGGCTATAAACTACGGGTCATCGTTAGTGCCTTCAACAATAGTTTTGTATATGTGATCTCCCCCAGATTTTTATTGGTTTTGTGTTGCTCAGTCTTTAGTTTTCTATGATGTGTTCTGTGTACAGTAACTGTTAATTGTCTTTTAATCAGATTCCGTGTTTTGCCATGGCATTGTCAATTTGTTTCGACTTGTGAGTTTAACTGTCCCTTTGGTATCTTTCGCCTCTCTTTTTGTATGTAAGACAAATCTGCATATTATAAATCAATGTAAAACAATTAAAATGAGTAAGTTCACGACATGTTTAAGCTTTGAGATCGAAAAACAAACATGACAAATACAGGGTATGTGATAACGACAACCACTTACCCAAAGGCTTCTTCCTGGCTTTGGAAAAGTTCGGTTTGAGATCGAAAAACAAACCTGACAAATACATGTACAGGGTATGTGATAACGACAACCACTTACCCAAAGGCTTCTTCCTGGCTTTGGAAAAGTTCGGTTTGAGATCGAAAAACAAACCTGACAAATACATGTACAGGGTATGTGATAACGACAACCATTTACCCAAAGGCTTCCTCCTGGCTTTGACAAAGTTCGGTATATTTTTGTAGGCGCTGATCCCCTCTTCTAACCTACGACTGTCGTGTACCATTATAACATTAGAACAATTGACGAAAACCTTTAAAAAGAATTTGACTTGTCAGAATGGGACCAAGAACAAAAAAACAATAACAAAGGACTAAGTGAAAATCCAAAAATACGCATTTAGTTATAGGTTATTAAAAACACGATCTTAACGGAATAATATAACATGTTTTCCAACATTGAATTGACAACAAAGTGTGACGCATAAACAATTTTAAAGGCGCAGTATGAAAAATGTATAATGCCATGATCAAGTATTAGAATACATAAACATTTAGGGTACGATTTTGCTTTTCGCAGAATTTATTTTAGAATTGTCAAAATTATGATAACTTTAATATTTAGGTATTAATAATTCTTATGAAGTCAACATATGTTTTAACCAATAGCACATGAGTAAGTTTATCAAGTAATATTTTTGGTATAAAAGTGCAATAAAAAAGAGATATTCCCGAATTCGACCGATTTTATCTGCCGAGGTATAGCTAGCCTTCTAAAGTAAAACAACCAGTGTTTATTGAATATATTTGCATTAAAGACTGTGATGAACCGATAGTTTATAAATAGAGTCAAAAAAAGCAGAAAAAAAAGGGTCCGTGTGCTTGTTTTCGAGATGTAAGGTATTCAAAAATTGGCGGGAATTGATTCTTTTTAAAAAATTTTCATACATTTAACAATGGCACCTTTTTTCTTTCAAAAACAATGAAAAAATAACAAGGATTTTATAAGATTTTCAAATATTGCTTTTTAAACTATACGTTATTAAATTACGAAAAGAAAAGTAGGGGTTAGCGGGCAAATTTTTTTAATGGGAATATATCATGGATAAAACCAGAGGATTACAATTAAATTTGCCAAGACGCTACAAACGTAACAATATTCCGACGTCACAATTTATAATATAGGTATAATCTTCGACGACGTTGACGTTCTGTCGTACCTGTTTCACACGTTCGCATATATATGTAGATCATAGGTATAAGTTTCCCGAGATAGAATTTTCTTATACTTTGCCATAATGAAGACTTTACTATGCTCTTTTCAAAAATATAATAAAAAAAAAAGATGGGTCACCGTGCTATTTTTCAAGATATGAGTTGTTAAAAATTGCCTAAATTTGCTTAGAATGATCATGAAAAAACACATTTTTGTGCATAAAAAGAAATCTATGAGATAGAATTTTGAAATAAATTGTGAGAAGATATGTTTTATAATATGTTTTAAGAAAATAAAAAGAAAAAATGGTGTCACCGAACTTGTTTTCCTGCTACAAGTAAAAATAAAAAATTTCCCTGTCATTCCTGTATAATTTTTTTACTAAAAGAGTTATCTCCCCTTAAATGGCTTAGTTGAAAAAATTGATTCTAATACACAAATGTTTGGTATTTGTTAAAATATTTTGATTAATGCAATAAATTAGCAAGTTTTCTTCATATAAATAAACAGCCTAACCAATAAAATATTGGTCATCTGTCTACAAATTTGCAGATTTGGGAATATTACTAGACTGATTGTGTACTGCGATAGTACAATCCAAGATGGCGATATACCATGAATCTACCTTTTTTTTCCATTGAAAGAAATACAGAAATGAACAGATTCTTACGTACTTGAAACACAAAGACATAGGGGTTCCTTCTGCACAGCCACTGTGTCCCTCCGGCAGCAAGAGGGTGAAGTAGAGAATCAGGGCAATCAGTTTATAAAATGAGTAGTCTATTTTTATTTTTGCTAATTTTTATTGGGATTTTTTTCAGACAAAATGTAAAAGAAATTGGATGGCAAAGTAAAGAAGCAAGATATAAGAAATGTGGCTGGTGGAAACCGAAATGGCCATGGGCTCAGTGTACTGAATATTCGTAAGTTCTTACTTAGGAGGCGACCATTAATTTTGCTATTCTGGGTTGTGGACTGGATGATTTTCCAGACTGATCATTTATTTTTATTTGCAGCGGCTTTGCCGCGCAAAAACTTTTTTCAATGTAGCATACACATTTGTTTCCTCAACTATCCAACAGTTTACATGTATGTTGCAGAATATGCACCACTACTAATCAGGTTGTCTGCATATTTATATTGTAAAGTTTCATCTGCCAGTCTCAATATGAAGCACGAGTGAGCGCAGTGAACGAGCTCAATAAGGTTTATATTTATCGAGCACATTTTATTTTACAATATAAATATGATAAGAATCGTTTGGTGTGTCTTAGCTTTTGATTTTTCCATTTGATTAGGGACTTTCCGTTTTACAGTTAAGTCTGCCTCATATCTTGACTTACATCTAGAAATTGACAATAAGGGTCGGTTGAAAACAAAACTTTAAGACAAAAGAGATGATTTCGGCTTCCCAATTGTGACCTTTCCATTTTTAGCTCCGAACATGTGGAGCAGGATCTGCTTACCCTTCCGGAGCACCTGAGATAACCCCTAGTTTTTGGTGGGGTTCGTGGTGCTGTTCTATTTTTGACATTTTTGACATTTTTGCCTATTGTGTTTGTTTTGTTCACACATCGTTGTCAATGCAATGGAATTTGGTACGACTGTCATACAAGTGAGAGGTTTGGCTAGCTTTAAAACCAGGTTTAATCCACCATTTTCTACATACTACCAAGTCAGAAATATGACAGTTGTTATCCATTCGTTTGATGTGTTTGAGCTTTTGATTTTGACATTTGATTAGGGACTTTCAGTTTTGAATTTTCCTCGGAGTTCAGTATTTTTGTGATTTTACTTTTTGATAAGGTCGGGTCAAACTTATCAGCGTCGGTTCATTCGATCATTTTGACTTCGTTGATATGTCCGGGACAAAGTTATTTAAAGGCAGGTTGTACGCATTTGACGTCACAAAGCCGTTATATGCAATTTTATAAAGAACTGACCAGGGTGATATAGGCAAAGGTGAAGGACGACGAACAATAATATGGCATTTCGGAAACAGGAGATAAATACGTCTTTATAGAAATCCAGAAAAATATGGTATCATCTTCTCTATATGTGATATTCTGTGCTTTTATTATAATTAATCAAAACTAGACAGTAATCAAGCGAACAGCGGTTTTGTTTGTTTTCAAAACTTTCGATAGTTGCATTTTTGCATTAGAAGCAGTGAACCGATTGACAACCGGAATTATTGATAAATCCGTGTGAAAAAAGTTCTGATATATTTTTAGAGGTATTGCAATCGAAAGTTGTTTTAAAGATCATTTCAGTTGGTATGGTAGCGTATTAGGGCCATCCATCTTTTTTTCAAATTGTCGACTTTAATCATGGAATTTCCAACTTTAATCTTGGATTTTCCAACTTTTATCTTGGAATTATTAACTTTAATCTTGAAATTATTAACTCTAATCTTGGAATTATCAAACATTAATCATGGAATGTCAACTTTAATCATTGAATTTCCAACTTTAATCTTAGAATTTCCATTTTTAATCTTGGAATTTCCAACTTCAATCTTTTAATTTCCAACTTTAATCTTGTATTTCCAACTTTAATCTTTGATTTGTCAGCATTACACTTTGAATTATTAACATTAAACTTGGAAATTCCAACTTAAATCTTCCGTCCCTCATTAGTCTAACACCCATTTTTCCGACTTTCATTAATAATTCCAAGATTAAAGTCGGCAATTTGAAAAAAAGGATGGCCCTAATACGCTTCCGAAAGTTGTGGATATAAATATGAAAAGTTGACTGAACAAAGCCTAGTCGCTACATGTCAATAGTAGCACTGAACATTAAGTACATCGAATTGCCAAAAAAACCTTCTATACTATCAATATCCATCTAGAATGTATCAAAAGCCCAATATAATAGTGCCAACACAATATCACACTGATGATTTTGACTTTTTGTTACGCATAATAATGCGCAAGAGAATATATACAATCTTAACTTGAACTGTTCTGCATATATCGATAGATTCGTTACGAAATCGATCGTAATATGAGACAACCACCCGACCAAATTAACATTACATAGCCCAAAGCCACCAATGTGTCTGCAATGCAGCTAGAAAATCGCGCACCCAGATTTTTTATTCGGCATACTAGTCGTATGAAACATACAAACATAAGCTTTAAAACCGAAAATTAAAAAAAATTTACTTCATATCCAAGGGTACTTATAAAATGAGAAACGGAATCGAAACGAATTGAAACGAAACGGAACGAAACGACACGAAACGCAACGAAATATAACGAAACGAAACGAAATATAACGAAACGAAACGGAATACTGCGCTGATGTTAAATACCAATACTGATACAAGATTTAAGTGTGGACAGTCTCCAAATGGCTAGCTTTGTGGTGTGTTTGATACAATATGAAGCGAACGGTTAACGTCGATTCCCTATTTTAAGACGTTCATTTGCCTTGCGTAGATATTCATACATGCAAAAAAAAAATGTAACTAAAGGGTCAATATAAAAAAAAGAAGATGTGGTATGATTGCGAATGAGACAACTCTCTACAAGAGACCAAATGATACAGAAATTTACAACTATAGGTCAACGAACGGCCTTCAACAATGAGCAAAGCCAATACCGCAAAGTCAGCAATAAAAGGCCCCGAGATGACAAATTAATGTAAAACAATTCAAACGAGAAAACTAACGGCCTAATTTATGTACAAAAAATGAACGAAGAACAAATATTTAACACATCAACAAACGACAACCACTGAATAACAGGCTCTTGCATTGGCTCGGGACAGGCACATACATACAGAACATATTCAGAATGTTTCGGGGTTAAACATGTTAGTGGGATCCCAACCCTCCCCTAACATGGGACAGTGGTGTAACAGTACAACATAAGAACAAACTATAAAAATCAGGTGAAAAAGGCTTAACTCTTCAAATGGAGACACGTAGAAATACATCTAACAAAACACAGGGTGGACGTGGCCGGGTACTTATATATCCCAACAACAGAAAGACACTAAGTACTGATCTGAGAGTACTCGCAGTTACTGACAGCTAGTTTAAAGCCACTTACAACTAATAAAAAATCATGCATATAAGACTAAATGAAAAAGAATGGAAATGACGGATTTTAAGGCCACAAGTTCTAAAATATACATTAAATTATATGAGTAAAATATGTTTAATACGTAGTCAAATAACTCAGCTTGCCTCTCAACAACTATTAAAGAATTTGATTTGAATTGTGTCGTGGATTTCTCCACAACGTTCATACAACCCTTAATGTTTTCAAAAGTAGTAAGGCGTGTTAATTTAAAATTCTGGATATTTTACATTTAGTTTTTAACCGGATTTTCGAAAGACAAATCGGTTATTGATTTGGAGATGTACTGCTGGCGGGCGGGCGGTTGTATTTCGGCTGCAAACAGTGTCCGTTCATTATCATGTTCCGAATGGACGTTGTATAGCAGCATGAAGATTTTGCACAGATCACAGATCCAAATACGGAGAGTTTCTAAGTCTTTATTTGTACTTGCATCCTCACAATTTAATATTATAGGTCACTATACCTTGTTTTAACTAATAACTTCAGGCATTTTTGTAAACTGCACGGTGTTTCCAGCTAACTTTTCTTGCAGGCCTTGCCGGACGGCCATTTAATTTCCAGCGCCATATTTGAATTTTGACAAATAAAATTTTATTTTTTCAGACAGTAAGTCTAAGTCTTTTTGTGACTTATAAATAATTAAAATAAATAATTCAGCCATCTTTATAATCATTTCGAACAGTTAAATAATTTTTTTTCCATTCTAGTTAAGTTTAAATTTTTGACCTCATAGTCTGTAGTCCAGACCCCCCCCCCCCCCTCTCTTATTTTATTTTCTTGCTAAATCTATTTATTGCATATATATATAGTTTAATCAAACCTTTAAACACACTGTACTTGTGTTTCAACCAATATCCTGTGTTTGAAAGATAAAAGAAAATTTAGTCCTCTGTTCCCACAAAGACTGATATATGTCTGAGACTAAAGTTGTAAAGTCAAGCAGATACTTCAGAGTAAATAAGAGAGATATTCAGGATAAAACAGCCCAAAGCCAACCCATAATTATATCTGATAGTAAAGGCAACTACATAAAGAGAGCCATTACAACTGAAGACTTCCTAAATGTAAAATTTATCACAAAAAAAGGACAAAAAGTACAGCAAACTATTGATGGGCCGAAAAAGAATTACCATCTATCTGTCATCAACACAAAAACATCACATTTTATATTTGGCTAGGAACCTGTAATTTAACCGAACTTAACAAAACTACCAGATACATCTCTCTTTTGAACCAAAACGATTCAAATGTCCGATATCTAAGAAGAAAATTTATTGAACTTAAGGCTCATGTAGGAGCTGCTCTATTATGGACATGGACATGGTTAATATATCAATGAGAAGCAATAACTCAATTATAGATACAGAAGAAACAATACCAAAAGTAAGTCTAGAAGAACAAGGCTCGACAAAGGAATATAGAGAAATGGCCCATATAGTTAAAAACGTGCCAGACAATACATCTAAAGACTGTCCAACTAGAAATGATGTTACGAAGGAAGAAGCAGGAAATGCAAACACAGAAGAATTAGAAATGAACAAAATGGCTACATACAAACAGCCTAACCAAATATTACAGAATGGCAGAAATGAACAAATAGAAAAATGTAGATGAGCCAAAAAACATGAAAGCAAAACCGAAAAGGCAATATAAGTGCAAAAATATAAATGAAACTACTCAACAGCTGGAAGATCAATTAGCACAATGCAGAGCAAGACTAGTCATAATGGAAGATACCAATAGAGACTATAGAAATACAATCAATTTACTTAGGTGCAAACAGAAGAAAGCACCATTGACAAAAGTAATTTAAAATCCTATCAACCAAAT